ATCTGCAAGTAATGTTCTGGCTATGGGTGGATATCTTGGAATAACGGTAAATTTACATTAACTTTTAAACAAGATTGTATTTTTCTTAGGTTCGCGGATACTACTACGTCAAACACAAACTCAAACTCTGCCATCCATATTTACCTTGTCTTATTCAATTTGGAGGAGGTCACCATCGATCATTTTATCCTCTTGAATGTCTGAGTGTTATCCGTAACAAGATGAAAGGAGGATGTTCATAGAAAGATATTTAATTTATAAACTTATCAAAATTTTTTAAATAATCCAATAATTTTATTTTTTAGTATACATAAAATATTGTATTTTTTTAATTCCGAAAAGTAAATATTATGCAAATCGAAAATTGTACTGCTATTTTCAAACTTCTTCCTTATAATAAACGATTTTCTTATGAAAATTTTATTCAACTTGCACGCCATGGGATAAATACAGAATATAATCCCCGACGATTCCATTAATAATTATGCGAGTTCGGCATCAGGAATATAAAACAACGGCAGCACTTATTTTTCAATCTGGCAAAGTTGTTCTAACGGGTGTTCCTAACCCTGCATTGGCAAACAGAATGGCTTGGCGTGTAACCAAAAGAATTCAAGCTTCATATAAGGCAACAGGCAATGACTATTCCTATTTAAAAATTGGTGTGAGGAATCTTATCGTTACAAATATTGTTGGTGCTTATCGACATCCAAAAAAGTTGGCAATAGAACAACTTTATTCTTATCTTCGTAAAAGACAACATTTAACTTGTTATTACGAACCAACAATATTCCCAGCACTTCGTTTTAAAACCAAAATAGATGGAAGGGACGGAGAAGCCTCCTGCCTTTGTTATATTTCAGGACGTGTAATACTGACTGGATTAAAATCTCAAAAAGAAATGGAATTTATTTTTGAAAATGATATACTACCATTGCTTGAAAAATTTCCACGATTATAAAATTTATTAAAAAATAAAATATTTACAAATAATATCAGCATAAATTTTTGTGGTGTGGTAAACAAACAAAAAAATTTTACAAAATTATTGATGATATCTAGTTAAATAATCACGATTTGTCCAGTTTGATGAACCTTGAACATCTTCTAAATTGAGAATAGAATCGTCTATCTGTCTAGTTTGCGGTTCAGCATTATGAGGTTGTTCAGGTTGTCTTTGTCGTGGGTGTCCAAGATCATTCTGAATTTTAATTTTTTTAATTTTTTAAAAGATATTTAAAGGAAAAATACCGGAATTTCTCTGAATCCAAATGGAAGAGTTTCCATTCCCGGCATTATTCTTCCCTTTTCGTAATACGGTCTATATTGTTTTGTTGTCATGTGCGTATAAAGCTGTGATCGTCGAGTTCTGCCAATCTGAGGGAATTGCACGCATATCGAATTGCTATTTCCACCAGTCCTGTTGAAGATGTCATCAGCAAGCGCTTCGTCCCTAATTGAAAATTTTGGTTACATTTAAATAAAGGATTAAATTTTACATTATTCCATCAACATCAAATTGTTCAAGCACAATATTTTTCATGCTGTCAAAATTCAGAAGTTGATGTGTAGCATATGAGAGAGGAAAAGACCGGATCTTTAGCTCTGCTCTCTCATCCATCCCTGTATTTGTGTCGACGTGTCTGTAGCCATAGTTTTTTGGGCCTCCAGCAACAAATTCCAGAATTCGACGTGAAGGAATTTCACGTTTCATTTTCCCAAGTGATTCGCCTTCGGGTACACGTGGACCATCAACCTTCCCAACATAGATTAAGGAATCGGTGTCGCAATACAGGAGACGGGCGCCAATTTGATGAACTTTCTTCATGTACTCGTAGAGATGTAAACGAGCATATGAAGTTACAAACGCTGCTACAGGAATACAGTTGGTGTTTGGTGCTTTGGCAAATTCTGCCTTTTTCTGGACTACACATCGATCTAAATGCTCACTAACATGGTCAAAATCGAGCATTTCTGTTGTTGGATCTTCAAATAATTGATGAAATTCTGATGGTGTTTTGGCGTAACGGACTTCAGTTCCACAAACACGCTGTGCAAGTTTGCCCCAAAGTGAGTTTGCCAATAATTTCCAAAATAATTTATTTTACTCTGAGATATTTAAAAAAATACCGCAATCATTCGAAGACCTGGATTGCTCTCAATACGCTCCGGAACCAAACGAATTCCCTCATTACGTTCAAATTCTTCTAAATATTCAGTTCTTTCTAATTGTGAAATACAGCCATCAGGCCAGCCACTTGCTTCTTGTTTTAATCGCACGAATGTATTGACATAAGATTGAAAAAGAGTGTCGTCCCATTGATCATAATTCCAAACCTATAATTTAATTTAAAAATTTAAAAAGTTAATTAATAACCTCATAAATATCCACGACTTTATACCCATATTCCAAAGCAGCATTCAACTCCACGTGTGTGTAGCCAGTCAACCAGGAACGCTCACAGCTAGAATGCGCACAAGGTCTTTGCTGTTTATCATCGGCGCATTTTGCACAAAGTGGAAATGTGAGCCGGCCATCAAATGTTCGATAAGGTAGTAGAGGAGGAAGATTTCCAGGCAAACATGTTGGAGGCTGCACTCGGACAAGAAGCAATCCTTTATAGATGTTGTGCTCAGGAATTGTCCAGTGCAGGCGGTTGTTGTTGTTGTTGTTGTTTGATGAATCCAATAATGTTTCACGAGTCAAAACGTTAGGATGTCCAATAGGGAAGGGCCTTGACTTCATCACATAGGGATAGAGACTTACCTAAATTGAAAACAGTTAAAATCTAATGAATAAAAATTACAATATCTATGTAGATTATCTCCTCATCAGCCCCACAAAAATGATGAAGTTTGAACGGCTCTGTCCTACCACCTCTCAGACAATCTTCCCTGGGATCAAGTGGACGTACACAATCAATTTCAATCCATAGCCGGCGTAGTTTAGCATTATTTTTTAATTTTTCCATCATCTCATGCCCCCAAATAACATGAAGTTCAAATCCATGCTGGTGTTCCAATTCCCAAAGACGTTGTTGTGTCCGTTCATAAAGTTCTTCAGCAGTACGGCCAGCGGCCAAACGTTGATCCCGACGAGGGAAGCATCTGGGACAGCCTAAATGAAAAGTTTATACAAAAAAAAATCTATTTTAAAGTACCGTGGAAGTAACAACCCATATATTCAATTGCCAGTGGGCGCTGTGGGGGAGATCGTTGCCAAAGCCCGTCCAATCTATAACCACAGTCTTCCACGTGTGCTTCTCCCATGGCCCATTGTGCATGCTGAACCTTTCCTGCTGCTTCAGGGTTTTGTTGTTCGAATAAGCGGATGTAACGCTGCGATTCAGCAGAGGCACGCCTTCCTCTCAGATACCCTCCTTCTGGGGAATGGACGAGCCAATTCTCAGGCAAGAAACATCTGCGCATAGTTATGAGAGCTAGACCAGCAATGGTTGATGCTTCCAAGAAGGGATCCAGCTTCTGCGTGTGTTGTCCAATAAGCTGTCGAAATCGTAGCACTCCTTCGCGGAGAATAGCAACATCATTAGCACAATAAAGGATTAGTTGTTCACGGAGTTGGAAATTTGTATTTCGATCATTTAATTGTTGTTGGTGCCATTCGAGAAGTGCTGCTCTTTTCACAGAATTTTTATATTCAGGCTGATAATGATGAAGTGGAGGAAGTCCTCGAATTCTATCATGAAGATTTTGCCTTTTTACAAAAAGATAAGGAAAGAAAGGCTTAGATGTTGCTACTTCTTCTGGCATAGAAAAAATTTTTGTTAGAGCATCAAGCTCACAATTGAAGTAATTGAGCGAGTCTTTGAATAAAACTTTTCTTTTGTTGTTTCCCGCTAACTTCATTGAATATATTTTAAGCCCAGTTGTACACAATCTTGATGGGGGCTCATTGCGCCTGTGTAAAGCCTCCAGCACTAGGTGAAAGTCGTATTTTCCACCATTATGTGCTATACAAATTGTTAGCACTTGCTGTGACCCATGGTGAAGAAGATAATCAAGAAATTGGTCCACTGGGCTCTCATTTTCATTATCGAAGGAATGGAAAAACAAACGGCGTGGATTAAATGAAATTTTGTCAGGAAAGGTGGTGTTGTCGCCGGTAGCGTTTTTGAAAGGTGGGGAGCACCAGTTACGCCATCTAGCTCCCCGAGGCTTCCCGCAAAAACATCCTTCGGCACGCTGCCCTGCATCTTCAATTGTAATTCCACCCTTTATACAGTTCTCACAAATTACCTGATAAAAACTCTGAATCTTCTTGAACATTTAAAGGCTGAATATAACATGGTAAATCCTCAGAGTGAGGACCATGACATTTATTACAAATTAAATTTTGTTGTTGTTGTTGAAGACAATCGTGTTGCTGTTGTTCATAAATAATATGGTGACATATGTCACAGATACGCCGCATTTGGCAAATGGAAGCAAAAGTGCGTCGATCGGATCTAATTAATTCTTCAGGGGCAGAATTTATTAGATGATAATCATAACATGGACGGGATGGGAAGATAAATCCACAATTTTGACATGCCACCTTTTCCTCAATCTTAATTAATTAGTATTTAATTAAAAATCCAAGAAAAATTAAAAAATTTTTGTTACATTTAATTAAAATTTACCTGGCAAGGGAAATTAGCACCTGATCGCATGCAGAATTTACAAACAACACTACACCCGGACCAATGTTTCCAACGGGTATAAGAACGTTCGCAATCGATACAAAAGCGTTGCACAAAAAAAAGTTGTTCAGGGCGTCCAATATAATGATAATGCCCATTTTCAAGGAGTATACATAAATTGTATCGTGCTGCTCTGCCATCACCCTTATAGACTATTCTATATTGTTGTTCCTTTTGAAAGACAACAATACGTACGTAACCTTCACCATCAAAGTGTTGGTTAAGCCAAAGTTGCAAAATTGCCACATGTTCAAGAGAATATGCCTGAAATTGAAATATTTTATAACTTTAAAAAATTGGTTAAACAATAAAATATACCATAAGTCCAAAATCAAGTCCTGCATTTCTCATTAAATTTTCTGCTGGGAATAAATGTTGTTGCTGTTGTTGACAAAATTCTTTGAATCTAGCGGCTCCGTTGGCAACGCCTTGATCCACCATCCTAATTCTTGCCAGACCGATAACTACTGCACGAGCAAGGCAGTATCTGTCGTTTGGATTGTGAACGCGCACAATCGATCGGCAACGGGACGATAAAACATGGTCGACTTCCAAATCACAACTACCTGTAGGAAAATAGCAGCCTTATATTTGAATAAAAAATATAAGACTAGTATCGACCTACCAGATCGGGCATCAGGATTACTAGCAGGATTATTCTGGTCCAGTGGGCGAAGTGGAATTGTAAATGCATGTTGGAAATTCGGTGGCTGCACCTGAAGACCAACACGAAGGGGTGCTGGTCTTCCGGCGAGCACCCGATCTAGCAAATGACTTATTAGAACGGTCATTGCTAAATCGGGTCTCTGTTGATCTTCAAGCGGGTTGAATCGTATATGGCAAATTTGGCCAAAAGTATTTCGTGAGCGTGAATTGAATTCGGTGACTCGCTCAATTGTGAAGTAGTTGTTGTTCATGTTAATGTCCTGAATTTATATTATTATTATTTATCCATTCATTTAGTTATTTATTAAAAATCCATAAACAGATTAGCACACCTAGACATTAATCCTTGTATACCCCTTAGAGCGACGACGTGGGTTTTAACTACTTAATCAATATTGATTGAAATGGAAAATTAATAACAAATAATTTCATAATATTTACTTAAAATAATTTAAAAACAATTTATAGCTGAAACATTAACTATTTAAGGCAATAAAGATAAAGGCTAAAATAATTTCAGAAATTTAAGGTTTATATAATTAAAGTTAAAAATAAAATAAATTAAAAATATTAAATAAATTAAAATTAAAAATAACAAAAAAATTGATAATCAAGCTTTTTTTTTGAAAATATTTATAATATAATTTTTTAAAACTATTTATGATATAATTTTTAAAGAGATATATTTATTATAAATATTTTGCAAAAATTTTAAAAAACATTTAGATATAAAAAAATTGAGATTTGGACAAAAATATTATATAATTAGATAATAAAAAATATATAATTTTTATAAAGTTAATTGAAAAATGAATTTTTTAAATTATATATTTTTTAAAATATTACACCTAAATACGACCCAAGACTTAAAATAACGTATAGTCCAATAAAAACTTAATACCGATTTAGAACTAGACTATTCGTTATTTTCAGTCCTAGGCCCCATCTCTTGACGACATAACGGACAAAAATTAAAATTTCGTGATAAATTCCAAAAACATTTGCGATGGATTTTATGATTACATTGTAAAATAATAATATTTTGCTGTGGGGCGAATTCCATATTGCAAGGTCCACACAATGTCCCGTCAGAAATAAAATTACTAGGCAATTTAATGCTTGAATTCATTATTGTATCTCTTCGAGCCATTGATAACCCACCAGAAAAATTTTAAAAATTAAAAAGATTTTAAAAATAAAAATTTTTAAATTTAATTAATTTATTAAATTTTTTAAATAATTTTTAAGCATAAAAATATATAATTTAACTTATCTAATACTTTTTTAAACTATGAATAATTATTTCTATCATCAGTTTAGCAGCAAATTTAATTTAATTTAATTTAATTTAAAGCTAAATTCAATAATAAGAGAAATTTAATAAAATTTTTTGTTTTTAATATAAAATTCATATTCAAAAATTCATATTTAATTTTATTGAAAAATCAATAATAAAAGATAAATCAAACCTTTAAATAAAGTAATGATTAATATTCTATAATAATTAATTAAATGAATTGTAAATAAATTTTTAATTATATTTAATAACAAAATTTATATTTAATAAAAATTTATATTCAATAAAAATTTCAAATTTAAATACAAAAATTCAAGGATAAATATAATGATAAATATTATATATCTTTTTAAATGAAATATTAAAAATTTAATTTTTTTATGTAATTTAATTTTTAAATTAAATATATTCAATAGCAAAATTTATGTTTAATAAAAAATTCAAGTAAAAACATTAATTTTATTCAAAAATTCAATAATAGATTATAAAATACAATGTTAAAGAAATTTATAATTATATTCAATAACAAAATATATGTTTAATAAAAATTTATATTAAATGCAAAATTCATATAAAGTTTTGTTGTAAATTCAATAATAAACGTAATGATTAATATTTTATAATAATTTATTAAAAGAAATATTAAAATAATTTTTAATTATATTCAATAAAAAATTCATATTAAATTTTATTATAGAAGAAGATCTATGTAAATGAAATATTACAAAAGTAAATAATATTTAAAAATATTAAATTAATGATTTTTATTGAAAAAATTTTTTATTGAGAAATTGAATTACAAATTTAAATAATTAGTTAATGAAAATTTGAATTTTTTAAATTAAAAGTGAAAATCGTAAGTTTTTTTCAAAAAATTTAACCCACATATGCCACATCATCCTCTTCTTCATCTTGAGCAGGGCCTGAACCAGTTTGCGAAGCATATATAACAGCAGAAGAAGATGGTCCTGTCTCTATAGAATTGTTTTGTTGTCTTTGAATAATTTCTATTTTGGACGATGCAATAAATTTAAATTTTATATCGACAGTGCCAGTCCATTGTTGACGAGGCCCGGTTTCTGGGACCACCAGTAAATTTTTAAATTTAACAATCTAATAAAAAAATTTTATTTAATTTTTTTAATTTAAATTTTTTTTCAAAATTTTATATTAAAAAAAATTTTTTTTTCAAAAATTACATCATGTAGTTTTTCTTCTTGTAGACGATCAGCATAATTCTTCCAAGAAAATATAGAAATTGTTTCTTTTTCTCCTTCTCTGCCAATTTGAACGTGGCAATCCGCCCGATCCCAACCGTGCTTCGGGGTTGGGCCTCTATGTGTAAAAATTACTTCCCCAACCAACTCCCTTAAAAATTTTAATTATTATATTTTTTAAATTCTAAAAATTTTACGGGAAGATATTGTCTTTCTGCCATCCAATCATGAAAAGATCAGTGTTTGTTAAATTAGAAACACTATCAATTGAGTTGATGAAACGAGCAGCTTCAGGTTGACTGCTATTTAAACGTTGCTGTCGTTTAGTGCAATCTTAAATTAAAATTAATTTTTTTAAATGTTTAAATTTTTTCAAAATACAAAATTTAAAAAATTTACTTCGGCCGCCACTTCTAGGCGCATTTGACTTTGTTGTTGTTGTTGTTGCTCATTAATATTATTAGCAGGCATCATCTTTAATTGTTAAAATTAAAAAAATTTAATGATTTTATATTATTTTTTACTAAAACTATTTTGTTTTAAATTTTAAAAAATTTTTTATAATAAAAATTTACTTGGTGCTGATTAATTGTATTTGTTGTAGTAGTTGATGTAGTTGAAGTAGTATTAGCAGAAATTGCTTGAGTTACCTTTAAAAATTAATTTGAATTTTTTAAAAATTTATTTATGATAGAAATTTACTTGGCGCTGATTAGTTGTAGTAATTGAAGTTGTAATAGCAGAGATTGCTTGAGTTACCTTTAAAAATTAATTTGAAATTTTTAAATAAATTTTTTAAAATTAGATGTGTTTATATATTTTTAAACTAATAAAGGCTCTAGAGTTAATGATTTTGTATTATTTTTTATACTAAAACTAGTTTTTATTTAAAAAAATTTATTTAAAAAATTTACTTGGCGCTGATTAGTTGTAGTAGTTGAAGTTGTATTAGAAGAGATTGCTTGAGTTACCTTAAAAATTAATTTGAAATTTTTAAATAATTTTTTAAATTAGATGTGTTTATATATTTTTAAATTAATAATGGAAAACTTTACATTTGTGTTTGCCGGCAGACGGAGCTGATTATTTAAATAATTTTCTATTAGTTGTTGATCGGCAGGAATTATTGGCCCCGGTGATGGTGTTGTAGATTCAATTATTCGACCTCTACGTGCCGGGGGTCCCGGGCTAGATGAGGGAAATGGCCGGCGTCTGTTCTGATTATTAGAACTTGAAGAATTAGTGCGTGGCATCTTTCAACCTTTAAAAAATTTTTTTTGAAAAAATAATATAGAATTTAAAAAAATTAAATTTAAATTAATTAATATAGGTAAAAAATTTCTCAAATAAAAATGTTTAAGTAAATAAGTAAATGATTTTATTTACTAAAAATTTTATTACAAAAATAAGAATGATTTGTGGTAAATTAGGAAGAGAAATTTTTGTTTTTACAGATTTAATCTAATGTTTTCTTTCATTAGAAAAAATTTTTTTGTTTTGAAAAAGTTTGGAATGTGGAATGTAACACTCGGATGAGCGCAAGAGACTTTAGTTTATAAAAACCCCAAATCAATAGTTTAATTTGGGTTTATGTTTTAAATTAATTCTGGTTTTTGTCAATAAATTCTGGTTTTTGTTTAATAAATTCTAGTATGTATTTTTAATCATGATTTTTATTTAATTCTGATTTGTAAATGTTTTTATTCCACCTATGCAACAAGCATAGAAATAGCAATCATTGCTGATGAGAAACACATTCCAAACATTCAGTTAATATTAAGAGTTCGACGTTCAAAGCAGGGATGTTCAACCTTTAAAAATTTCTAATAGTAACATAAAGCTTTCCAAAATTTTACCAAAAAACAGACACAACAGTCATCAGAACATTTATAGCACCCATTGCAATTGTTGCATAATTTGGCCCTTAAAACAAAAATAGTTCGTAAGCAAAAAAATTTTTTAAAACTCACATTGTTTTCTTAAGACCGGTTCCCTTAAAAATACATAGCCGCTGAATAAAACATTGCTAAAAATAATTTATTAAAATAATTCCTCAAAAACCCCCACCAGCGTTAATTCCACTCAATTATTGAGAAATCATCATAGACAAAACAAGTAACAAAGGCCATGGAAGTTTGATACCATAAATGTCTTTCATTGAGGAAGGAGGTCCAGAATTAGCTTTTGCACCCTCATCAGAAATTAAGTCAAGTTCAGCTTGAACCTATAAATCAGAATTCTGGTTTCAAAGTTTGGTGATTAAAAATTTTGGTTTTTAAAATTAAAATTTTGGTTTTGCAAATTAATAAATTAAAAACAAACATCTTCACTCTCACAAAGTTTTTTCAAGTCTTTCTCTGCTTGATCTCTTTGACCTTTAACAACAATAGTGAATTCAGGAGTCTCAGGGCAGAATGTAAGAGTGCGCAGTTGAACGAGAACAGAAACCTTTGAAAAATAAATAATAGAAGGGATTTTTGTGGGAAAATTAATTTTTAAATTTTCATCAGAATAAAAATTATTTAAGAGGAAAATAGAAAGGATTAAAACGGAAGCACCCTCTACTAGGACCCTGTCTTCTTCAAAGGTTTAATAAACGTAAAAATATCCTAAAATGTCAATTTTGGTATTCAAAGAATACCATAATCAACCAAAAATTGAGTAGATCCGGCTTCCGTAAAACCTTTTAAAAGCCCTGAGGTAGTAGAGGTGTACGGATAATTGATTAGATTAGAATTTTAAAAAAGTACAAAAGTAAAGGCAAATATAAACGGCCATCTCTAAACAGTTCCCAATAAAAACGGAAGTCCAAGAATCTAAGAGAAAAGGATGGCAATGGTCACAAACACTTGAGCAAACGAGCCAATAGCTCCCCGCAGTTGGCAGGCGAAACTTCAGTCAAATACATTGGTGCCAATCCACTGTTTAAACCTAAAAAAGGAAAAAATAGTTTTATACCGATGGAATTTTTTTTGCTTTTAAACGATTAAATATCTGGATAAAATTTGATCCCAAAAATATATTAGCCTAATTTTTCTCAATATACAAATCTTGAAAAATAAAATTTATTTTGGGATTGGAGTTAGGATTGTTGTCGACAACTAGGGTTGGTGGAACCGGTACCCGGATCAGAAAAATGTTCAAATATCAGTAAATTATTCGGAGATTTCCCACTATCCGTCAACCTTAAGATCAAACCAAAAACACATCGCTCAATGGGCGAAATTTTTACGCTGAAACCCCAAAACGTCTTAGCTACTTAGGAAATTTAATTTTCTCAATTCACCAGCATTTATTCCAACGATAAGACGGCCAAAAATAAAAAGCCAATAATTTCCCACAAAATTTAGCTCCCGCCATTAAAGCCCCAGCGATTATAGCTAAAGCGTTGTTGTACAAAAGTGCACGTTTACGTCCAAGTTTTGTAGCAACAATTCCAACCAAATTTCCTCCAATCATACCACCAACAGCAAAAACTCCAACTGCCATACCCCTAAAAATATTTAATAATTTTAGAGAACCACATCCCCGAAAGTGGTCTGAAAAAAACTCTTCTCTGCATAATTTCTAAAAAAGCAAAGGTAGCTCACTAAGGTTGGCGTTTCAGGGTATTCGGGACCGAAAAAAGATCAATCTTAGATTTTGATATCTAAATATTTCTTAGGAAAGCCAACCTTGCTCTCTTCCCGTCATAAAATCTAGAGAAAATCCCAATAAAAAAATTGAAAACCTGAAAAAGATTGTTGTACAATATCAGTCAAGTATACATTGATTTCCCTTCTCCTCCATTTTGTTGTTTTAAATGCAATAATTCTTAAAATAATTAATAAAATATTATTTTTTAAAAATTAAAAAGAAAACCTTTAAATTTTAGGCCATTGCTGGAATTGTTGCTACAAAACTTGGACGTAAACGTGCACTTTTGTACAACAACGCTTTAGCTATAATCGCTGGGGCTTTAATGGCGGGAGCTAAATTTTGTGGGAAATTATTGGCTTTTTATTTTTGGCCGTCTTATCGTTGGAATAAATGCTGGTGAATTGAGAAAATTAAATTTCCTAAGTAGCTAAGACGTTTTGGGGTTTCAGCGTAAAAATTTCGCCCATTGAGCGATGTGTTTTTGGTTTGATCTTAAGGTTGACGGATAGTGGGAAATCTCCGAATAATTTACTGATATTTGAACATTTTTCTGATCCGGGTACCGGTTCCACCAACCCTAGTTGTCGACAACAATCCTAACTCCAATCCCAAAATAAATTTTATTTTTCAAGATTTGTATATTGAGAAAAATTAGGCTAATATATTTTTGGGATCAAATTTTATCCAGATATTTAATCGTTTAAAAGCAAAAAAAATTCCATCGGTATAAAACTATTTTTTCCTTTTTTAGGTTTAAACAGTGGATTGGCACCAATGTATTTGACTGAAGTTTCGCCTGCCAACTGCGGGGAGCTATTGGCTCGTTTGCTCAAGTGTTTGTGACCATTGCCATCCTTTTCTCTTAGATTCTTGGACTTCCGTTTTTATTGGGAACTGTTTAGAGATGGCCGTTTATATTTGCCTTTACTTTTGTACTTTTTTAAAATTCTAATCTAATCAATTATCCGTACACCTCTACTACCTCAGGGCTTTTAAAAGGTTTTACGGAAGCCGGATCTACTCAATTTTTGGTTGATTATGGTATTCTTTGAATACCAAAATTGACATTTTAGGATATTTTTACGTTTATTAAACCTTTGAAGAAGACAGGGTCCTAGTAGAGGGTGCTTCCGTTTTAATCCTTTCTATTTTCCTCTTAAATAATTTTTATTCTGATGAAAATTTAAAAATTAATTTTCCCACAAAAATCCCTTCTATTATTTATTTTTCAAAGGTTTCTGTTCTCGTTCAACTGCGCACTCTTACATTCTGCCCTGAGACTCCTGAATTCACTATTGTTGTTAAAGGTCAAAGAGATCAAGCAGAGAAAGACTTGAAAAAACTTTGTGAGAGTGAAGATGTTTGTTTTTAATTTATTAATTTGCAAAACCAAAATTTTAATTTTAAAAACCAAAATTTTTAATCACCAAACTTTGAAACCAGAATTCTGATTTATAGGTTCAAGCTGAACTTGACTTAATTTCTGATGAGGGTGCAAAAGCTAATTCTGGACCTCCTTCCTCAATGAAAGACATTTATGGTATCAAACTTCCATGGCCTTTGTTACTTGTTTTGTCTATGATGATTTCTCAATAATTGAGTGGAATTAACGCTGGTGGGGGTTTTTGAGGAATTATTTTAATAAATTATTTTTTAGCAATGTTTTATTCAGCGGCTATGTATTTTTAAGGGAACCGGTCTTAAGAAAACAATGTGAGTTTTAAAAAAATTTTTTGCTTACGAACTATTTTTCCTACTCTCTATGCCTTCACAGTCACAAGTCTCTTTCTCTCCTTTCTAAAATCACAAGGCTTTCCCAAAATGGCAATTGCTTATGAAAGCATGGCAGGCAAAAAGCAAAATAACATTATTGATTAACTAAAATTTGTAAAAATAATTTTAAATAAATAAATTTGATAAAATTCTTTAATTGCGGGAACATATTTTAGGATTTGTGGAAGAATAATCCAGTAAATTTTAGCGAGTGATTCGCATAATCGGCTTGCATTTTTATTTTTGCAACTACATATGTATTTGAAACTTGTAAAAATCGGAGATAAAAATTTAAAGAAGTTTAAAAAAAGTTTTAAATAAATTTAAAGAAAAAGCTAAAAACTTATGAAATGAAGCTGCAGTTTATTTAAATTCAAATTTTTATGCAACAATTTTTATACTATTACTAGATTTCATAAAATAATATACCTATTTCCAGAAGAAAAATAATATAATTTCGACCAAAAACTTTTTCAAATCTAATCAACTAATAATAAAAGAGTGTTTTTCTTAACTAGTATATGTACATTTTTATCTAAATGTTTCTTTACATAATTATCCGTTTAACTCAAGTTGGGCTCAAAACTTTGCTTACAACCAAAGCATAAAAAATATAAAAACTAGGCCCGTATCTTTACTCAGAGTCGATAATTTAATTGTTAAATATTAAATAACTTGTTTTAAGTTTTATAAAATTTCAATAATTTAGAGCTTTACAGAGTTCAATTTTCGTTCGTTGAGCAGCGTATTTTTGGAAGCCTGAACAACGTTCATGGCTATTTATATATTGTAAAACGCCAAAAAGCCCCATTGTATATATCCAAGACACAAGACTCCCCAAGACCCAATACCGAAAAAACCCCTAAGAAAAGTCCCAGCCAATACTAAAGACCAAGAGTCTTAGAAGTCTCTAGTTTTTTTTCTCTGCCATTAAGAGTAGAGGTAGGAAAAATCTCTTTTGCAGGATCCTGTAACAGGATTGGGTTTTAAAATTTCGAACAGGACGGATCCTGCAGAATTAATCCTGAAAATCCTGGAATCCTGACACTCCTGAAAACTGAAAAAAGGCTGTGCCGACCTCTAATTAAAAGATAACCCAAGTCATCCCCCCGTTTCTTTCTCGATAGATTTTGATATTTTACCAGAAAATAGGCAATACTTTCTCGGTTAATGCCAGCTTAAACAAAAATATATATTTTAGGAAAAATTAAATCGTGGATGATAGATGATCAGTTTCATTCACATGTTTTTATTCAAAGTTTTTGAGTTAGAGAAAGTTTTAATGTTGGCAATTGTGAAATAGCGAGTTTTTCAAACTAAATTTCTAGTCACAAAATACATTTAATCTCCAAAATATTTTTCTCCTATATGAAAACTAAATTAATCTCAGCAAATAAATAAATATTAAAACAAATAATTAATCGTGATTATTGGATTAATAAAATTTAAAAATCTATGAAATGTTTAAAGAATCTGGTATCGTGATCTCGATGATTGGGATGAAATAAAAATCGGTTTTTTTGCCATTCTTCATCATATCGCTAGAGAAGGTCTCAGAAATTTTTTTAGATTTTTTCCATGTTTATTTTCCATAAAAAACTAAATGTAAAAATTTTCCCTATTTAAATTTCCGCGCACTTTTTAAGTTAACATATATGAATGATTTTTTCTCGCTTAAGTGAAAACTTTTCCTTTAATGATTATTAGTCATTTGATAGCTTATAAATAAAGCTACAAAACTATATAAAAGTAATGATCCGGCATAACTGATTAGCCGTATAATTTTTAGAAATAAAATTAAAAATATTTTTCCCTATTTAATTTTCCGCCACTGTATGTATAATAAAATCAATTTTGTATAACTTATTTTGGGGGCCCTGAAATGATTCGCTCGAGATATATGTCATTCGAAAAGCTCGATTAGCTGATTCGAACAACAACATAATTAGTCCTCGGCCTTAAATATGTGCCGAGATAATGTCGTTAAATATTGAAAAACACTATGGGAGTAAGTTCAATTTTGGTGTAAAAATTCAATAATTCAAATGATAGCCTAAATTTAGCAAATTTTTTAAAATCATTAAACTATTCTATGTTAACTTTATTTTCAAATTATTTAAAAAACATTCTTAAAACTTTTTTATTTTAAATTTTTTAAAATCTAATATTTAAATCGATTATTTATTTAATTTTTTCATTGATATGCTTAAAATCAATTGCCATATTGAGAGTGGAGAGGAAGGATGGGGGAGCTTCACTCTCTGTTATTGCTAGCAATTCATTATCTGTTATTAAATTAATTAATAAAATGTTTTTAGCTATAATCAAATAAATAAACAAAATTAATTTTAATTATGTTTATCTATTGTTTTAATTAATTTAATATTTATCTATGCTAAAAAATTTCTAATATTTAAATAAGTTCTTTAAGTTATTAGTTTTTATTATATCAGTTTACATAATATAAATAATTTAAAAATTTTCTTCATTTAATAAAAATTTTTTAGAAATTTTCAATTCAAAACTTCAATGTCTAAATTATTTATCCTATTCGTGTTTCTTTCTTATTTTGTTATTTATGCTTTATCAATGTATAAAAAAGAGAAGAATGCGTCAAATAGAATTGAATTAGTTCGCACCTGGAATAGGAATGAAATTGAAGTATTCACTCCAAGTAACAACAATGACACAAATCGACATGACGACATGGAAGAAACAAAATATTCTAAAAGCTATTGGAAGGATCTTCAGGAACAAATACAAACTCATAATGAAAATAAAGAAAATATCGGAGAGAACTTGCCTGAAATTATGGACGAAGAGGATGAATGTGAATGGTGTTGCATAATTATGTAAAGAAACATTTAGATAAAAATGTACATATACTAGTTAAGAAAAACACTCTTTTATTATTAGTTGATTAGATTTGAAAAAGTTTTTGGTCGAAATTATATTATTTTTCTTCTGGAAATAGGTATATTATTTTATGAAATCTAGTAATAGTATAAAAATTGTTGCATAAAAATTTGAATTTAAATAAACTGCAGCTTCATTTCATAAGTTTTTAGCTTTTTCTT